GGAGACCCTGGAGCTGCGCGTCCGCGAGGGGCTCCGGAGTCCACGGGGAGGTCCCGGGGCTGCAAGTCCGCGAGGGTTTTCTGAGGTCCATGGTGAGGTCCCTGGCTGCGCGTCCACAGCGAGGTCCCGGGCGGTATGTCTTCCGTACGGGCTGGCCCAGGTCGGCTCTCCGCTGCTTCCCTCACACCCGGACCGACCCGTGGTGGAGCGGAGAGCTCCCCGAGGCGAGGAGCCTAGGCGGGGGAGGAGGCAGCAGCTCTTGTCGATGATGGCACGGCCGTTTCGCACAGAAGCATCATTTCTGCAGGAGTCAGACTTTCTCTGGAATGGCTTAAGTCAAAATCTGGGGGAAGGCCTTCTGCTTGGCGGCAGAGCTGAGATCTGTTTGTTTTCCTGTAGTAAGAGATGTGGGAAAGCTCACCCCTGGAGAAGGTAACATTTCTTATGGTCGTGGTCGTGGATGTGAGTTTTTGAAATACCCATTGCTTTGGTCTGGTAGTGTTGGGTCTCCCCTGGGGTTCTAGGAGCTCGAGTGGCTTCCTAAAACAGGCGATGAGAGAGGAAAAATCCCAGTCCACCATCTGTAAGGGATGCGGGGATTCAGGCCTCCCAGGAGAAGGACGCTCCGGGCGCTCTTTCCTGGCTGGTGGTTGCTCTGCAGAAGAGCTCTCTGAAAGGCCCCCGGGAGGCACCAGGGAGGCACCAGCCGTGTGAGTGGGGCCTCCCGCCAGCACGTGGTTGACTCTGGGAGTCTTGAGTGCAGTTTATGCTGGGAAAATGCATTTCAAGGGAGGAGGGAGAGAAAATGTGCTTGAATGGTGATTGTTTGGAGGAAGTCTTGTTTGAGTCGAGTGAGAAATATGCACAGATTAAGTGTGAGCTGTTTCCGGACCGTAAGAAACGTGGACTGGAGAGAGAGCACCCTTCCCGAGTTCTGAAGGAGACCTTACCACGTGTGTAGGTCGCAGGGCTCGCTGGTGATTTCAAGGACAGCTTTCTCTGGGTTGCTACACCTTGGAGGGAAATCATTAAGTTGCTGCTTCATGTTTCATGTGGAATTGGTGATGTAGAGGTTTGATCTGTCAAAATCTGAAAAGTTGTTTATTCAAATCTCCAACTCCATACTGAGGAGTGGGCTCTGTGGGCTAGGTGTTCCTTAAGTTGTTTATCTCGAAGAAAATTGGGTTAAATCTCCCAAGTTCTGTTTATTCTCTAGCTTCTCTGTTCCCAGACCCATGCCCACTGGTGACATATCTTCACCTGTCCTTGGTGGTATGTGATCCTGTTGGGAAGAGTGGCATTGTAAGGAGCTTTCATAAGACAGACATCTCCACATTACAAGTGGCCTTCATTCTAATACGTTCACTATGCCTTTTTTAAACCCTCGGAGTCAATGTGCTTTGGTTTATGGACGTCACACGTGATATAGCTGAACCTTGCGGTAAAGTCAGGTGGGGACAGGAGAGGTCCTGCACAGAGATTACTGACACTGATTAAGGGAGCTGTTCTCTCTCCATTTTGTGTGGACGTTTTCCCAGGTAAAAAGGTTTTAAGTGCCTGATTTTCTGTAATCATAGTGATTGTGGATAGTAATTAAAGAAAAAAAACAACCCAGACTTGAAATAGTGAAAATTTGGCAACTCTCATCTCGCCTTCGATTTTCTTTTTTTGGGAAAATCTTAGTGGCTCACGAAATCTGGAAGCTGGAGAGTATTATCTGTTATCTAGTAGACCTTGCAAATGCGACGTAGACCAGAGTTGACTGGCTGGTGTGGGGAGATCTTTGTTCACTGGGCTTGTCGCTGGTATGAAAGTTAAGATAAGGAGCAAAGGTTAGTGTTTTCACATCATGTCTACCGAAATTGTCCGTAGCGAGTTAGCTTAGATCTCCTCCACACTTCCTACTGCTGTTCCTTCAGCCTGAATGCTGACTGTTCCCGGTAGATGGGTGGCCTTCCTACTCCGTGTCCAGGGAGTGGGCTGATGAAACAGTGGGACGAGCGCTGACCTCATTGATGCTCTGTTCATCCCACAGATTCTGGCGCCTGTTCTGGACCACACGCCTGTGGTTTTGGTAATTTAACAGGCCAAACCTGGGGAGCACGGGAATTTGAGGGGCCGGCACCCCACCTGCCCAGTCCGGCCAGGGACCTGACCCCATGCTGCAGGAACGGCTCACCCAAGTTCAGACACCCCAGGTAAGCCCGCACAGGCTGCTGTGCGTCTTCCTTCCCTCGAGGTACCCGCAGGTGGCCCAGCAGCCATTGTTCAGTTGGTGAGAACTCTTAGGTGATCCCCCTTGGGAAATGTTCTTCATTTTTTTCATGTCAAAGAACTTGTGCTTGCTTTCTTAAAAGTAAGTTTCTTACATATCTGTTCTTTACAGAAATTTTTGTAGAAAAATTTGATCCACATACAGAATTAGATGCCCCCTACCCATAAGTTTGGATGGTTTAATAAGAGGTGTTGGGGGTGGTCCTTCCACTTGAGCAGTTTTGGGTGCACCTGACAGACTGGGTCAGGCCAGAGACCGCATCCCTGAGGGAGTCTCTGTTTTTCTGATGGGAGTGAGCTGTTTCAGGAACGTGCTTTTCTAATGTGGCTCAGATGGTCCTTGAGCTTTGGCTGGATGGTCGAGTTGAGAGCTTGTGGGTGGGGAAGAGAAGAAGATACAGTTGCTGCAGTCAGAGGTGCTGGGGGTTTCCGGTTTGCTACAGTTTCTGCACCGGGGCCCCCCTGGTGTCAGGTCTGTCACTCAGTGACTCTTCCGCAGGCAGCACTCAGCACTCACCCGGTGCCTGTCTTCCCGTTGACCCACAGCCACCTTTGATGCTGTTTGTTCCTGTTTCATAAGGAATGGTCTCCAGCAGTCACAGTCATTGTCCTTGGAGTTTATAGCTAATTGGTGATGGAATTACCCAGACCTGCCACGTTCCAGAGGCTGGAGCTGCCGCCACGCCCCCCACCTGCCCCCACCTGCCCGTTTGCTTCAGTTTAGGTGACTTGTGACTGCTGTTCTAGTCCTGTTGCTGTCTTTTCTCTCCTCCCTCACTTAAAAAGAATGATAATCTGTACAAGCACCATCCAGTAGCACAAGCTACAAGTATAATTTAGTCTTACAGCAGCCACATTAAAAATAAAAAGAAGCAAGTGAGATTAATTTTCATAATATATTTCATTTAACCCAGTACGTGTGAATATTGCCATTTCGGCATATAAGCAGTCTTAAGATTACTGAGGCATTTTACGTTCTCAAACTGAGTCTTCAGAATCCTGTGTGTTTTACAGTCTCAGCACATCTCAGTTTGGACCAGGTTCATTTCACGTGGTCAGAGGCCACGTGAGGGCTGTGGGCTTCATTTTGAGTGTGGGTGTGAACAGAGTGTGCTTACCTCATGCACCACACAGATTCCTTTAAGTGGATTTGTGTGTGCGACCGAGTGTCTTGCGAGGATTAGTGTTTCCCTGATTTTGAGCAGGTGTGAGGACCACTTGGTAGCCTCTAGAAGGAAATCACACCAAGCGTGGTGTCTGGGGTCACTTGGTGGCATCTGTCGAAGAGACGCCGCTGCTGTGAGGGTCTGGCCTCCTCGATGCAGCTTCTGCCTGCTTAGAGGCACTTGTCTGTTTGAGAGGGCGGGCAGGGATGCTGCTCGGTCCCAGGGAGCAGTACCGTCTCCATGTCTTACCCTTCCTTTGTAGGGGTGGCAGCTGACCCAGAGACTCTTTTGTGGTGGGCTGCATCTGTAAGGACCCAGAGGGAGCTGTCAGGGAGAGGATGCCCTGTTCCCGGCACTGGGCACCCGTCACTCTGTTCCTTCTGTCCCCACAGTGATGCACCATGCCCATTGTCGACAAGTTGAAGGAGGCCCTGAAGCCTGGCCGCAAGGACTCGGCTGACGAGGGGGAGCTGGGGAAGCTTCTGGCCTCCTCTGCCAAGAAGGTCCTTCTACAGAAGCTCGAGTTCGAGCCGGCCAGCAAGAGTTTCTCCTACCAGCTGGAGTCCCTGAAGAGCAAATATGTGCTGCTGAATCCCAGGACCGAGGGGGCCGGCTGCCACAGGAGTGGGGATGAGCCGCCAGCCAGGAGACAGGGTACAGACGCTTCGTGCGCTGGAGAAAGGGCCTCCCTGGGCTGAGCAAGTGGACGGACGAGACGTTGACTGATGAGTAGGAACAAAACCAGAATGTGGTCAGCTGTGAATGCTGGCTGGGTCTGTAGGTTTTAGGTACAGAAGTGATGCTACAGGAGGGGGTGTTAAGGAAGAGCTCTGTGTCCTTAGAGATTCTTAGGAGCCTGTGTGTTAAGAGGCTTGAGAGCTGGGCTGGGAAACCAGGAGGAGGAAGGGGTGAGTTGAGCGCAGGGGCCAGGTTCCTCCAGCTGCTCTGTCTCGGAACCTTGTCCTCTGACACAGGGTCCCTGAGTTCTCGACCCAGGCAGTCAGGAAGAACCACGGACAGGCTTTCTAGAACTTCCGCAGTGGGACCTCAGTTACCCCCGGAGGCCGCGCCTGAGCCAGCGCGCGCCGCGTGTGCGTGGACCTGCGGCGTCCTGACCTCCCCCCGTCCCTGTCTCC